CGAGAAAAAAGTAAGACAAGGAACACATCTGCATTGTCTGTCACAAAACCCTACATACCAGAAGTTAACATTTCCACATTCCTCCACCACATCATCGTAAAATTATTGTATCCTACACAACTGGTCAAGCTAACTGAGCTAAATGAGCCACATTGACCAACACCAAACTGTTAAGCCTTTATTTAACATTAATCATTAATCATCCATTATGTTCACCAGCTAACGTTGGTTATTGCTGTTATTGCTATTCAATGCAGGAAGCGTAGCTCGCTGTAGAGTCGCAGGTGATGTTTTTGCTTAACCCTATTCAGGACTTTTGGGGTCTTTTGGACCCCAGGCCATTTGGTTTAGGTGACAGGTATTGTTTTTTAACCTCTGAAGATTTTTTTTTTTAATATAAAAAGAGGGACATTTGTCATGCTTTTGGAACCAAAAATATGTCAACTTATCAGAAAATTAATTTAACATAGTATAAAAGTCTATAATGAATACCAACAAATATTTTGCACATATTTTTTCTTGGGCAGTTGGTAGCACTGTTGCCTCGCAGCAAGAGGGTCACTGGTTCGCGTCCCGGTGAGGACACCCGGGATCTTTCTGCGTGGAGTTTGCATGTTCTCCCCGTGCAGCGTGGGTTCTCTCCGGGTTCTCCGGCTTCCTCCCACACAGTCCAAAAACATGTTGAGGTTAATTGGTGATTCTAAATTGTCCGTAGGTGTGAATGTGAGTGTGCTTGGTTGTCTGTCTCTAAGTGTAGCCCTGTGATAGACTGGTGACCTGTCCAGGGTGTCCCCTGCCTTCACCCTAAATCAGCTGGGATAGACTCCAGCACGCTGTGATCCTAGTGAGGATTACGTGGTGTATAGATAATGGATGGATGGATATTCTTTCTTGGGGTCCAGTGGAACCTGAAAGACCTTCTACGTATGGCAACATGAAAGTCCTGAACAGGGTTAAACAGATGCTTCCTGCAGCTCTGTTAAGAGTGGTGAATCAAAACGCTAAAGATGTGGGCCCGAAAACCAAAACTATAAGTTAAAAGTCACTGAAAAGCTCCTTTATTCTGACAGGAAGTGCACAGCTGGTTAATAATTCATGATGTGTTCGTCAGTCTGAGCGATCCCCTTCACATCGCATACAGCCATTAAATCCAATGTGAATGTACATGTTGACTAGTACCGCTTTAAGTTCACCTATCTTGTTACATTTCCTCAAAATCAAAAAACAAACAACAAAAAAACCCCAGTGCATTTGCCATTTCATTTTGTCCTACTTTGCCAGGAATTAAATCTAACTGATACTGCCACTGATCTAAACTGAAACAACTGCATAAATAAAAAAATAAAAAATAGATGAATGTCACAGAGGCCCAACAATGACTGAGTATCTCTGGAAAGATTAAATCCATAACCTGGTGCAGCATCCATGTATGCCCCCCTGTGTATTTGTGTTTAGGTCCCGCATCGATTACAGATGTATGGAAGATATATCAGGTGTTAAATAATATTTTACAAATGTATGATAGCGACCCGTGCTTGACCGCAAAGTTAAATCAACATGACAGTGGAACATGGTACGCATAAGCACATATCCCCGCCACCTATAAACTAAGTAGGCAGTTATTGATCCGTCGCATCTCCCTTCAGTGGAGGTCTCGAAGGTTGAGAATGCAATATTAATGGATCCGGAGGGGGGAATTGTTGTACGCCTGTGTGTGTGTGTGTGTGTGTGTGAGCATGAGTCCACGCTCATAGCTCATGCAGGGCGACTCCATTAACCAGCACGGCCGTAGCGGTCAGCAGTTTATGGCGACCAGGCTCACAGGTCAAGGGGGAGCCAAGAGGTCAAAGATTGCCATTCCCTAAAGGTCTCCAATCACCCCGGTGAATTGATTGCTTACACATCAGAAAAGCCACTGTCCTACGTTAGCTTCAAATTTAGCCCTGGATGCCTGCAGCCACACGACCCCTCCTCCACTCCGCCCAGTCATCGCCCGCTCCCTCCAACTTCATTCAAAAGTCTGCACACTTCAACTGGGAAGTGACCACTCATTTAAAGGAATAGCTCGGCCTTTTGGGGAATGTGCCTGTTAGCTTTCTTTCTAACTGTATGATGAGAAGATCAATTCCACGTTCGTGTGCATTGAGGAACAGCCTGCAAACAGTTTAAATTTCACATAAAGACTATAAACAGGAACTTCTCAGGAAGCAGGGAACGTTCCCGCAATGTTGGCTAATATTTCCCACAAGTTCTAGTAATGTCCATCCGTCCATCCATTATCTATACACCGCTTAATCCTCACGAGGGTCACGGGGGGCTGGAGTCTATCCCATGAACATGTAAACTCCACGCAGAAAGATCCCAGACATCCTCACTGGGACGCCAACCGAGGATCTTCCAGCTGTTCTAGTAATTTTTAAAATAAAACAGTTTATTGTCATGTTCAAAGAATGCTTTAAGGATTTTTATTATTTCAGTGTCTTTGAGGTTAAAAGTTGACTAAGACTATGTTTTACCACTCAGAGGATGTTTGGAAGATGTTTTCAGGTTGTGTTGCATGATAACAAAAGAAGAATGTTGTCAAACCAACATTCAAATAATGTTTTGAAGATGTTATCGGGGCATCAAAACACCCTTTCACATAAATTGGTATATTCAAAAGGTAGAACATTTTCTCTGCAGCATTCAGAGGATGTTTTGAGGATTCTGCCGTTGAGAACATTCTTCTATAAAATGTTCTTACAATGTTACATAGTCACAAAGGAGGGACGTGCTAAGTGCAGCATTTGGAAAACGCTTCGAGAACATTTTTGGAGTGTCTTTAGAGATCTTTAACCTGCCTTTAAGAAGAAATGGATGAAATAAAACATGGCTAGAACTATACAAAACTCTCTCAGAGCGATTTCAGAGCAAAAAACTTGTAGCTCTGTGCGATGGTGGTCAAATCGGGGGATTTCATGTGTTAATTAGGGAATTTTCTCAGTCCTGGTTGGCTTATTTTGTTACGTGTAGACAGAACGTAGCGACTAAGTTGACCCAGCTCCGATTCTAAGCTAAGTTAAAAGCTGAAAGCGGTATCAATATTCCCATCTAAATCGCAGCAGGAAACTGAGAATTCAAACTGTATACTTGCTTTAAATGTTGCCAGTATGCCAAAAAACTTTATCAACTGGAGGCCTTCTCATAGTTTAATTGGCTGATTGTAGCTCAGTGGAAAGAAGTTAATGTCAGAAACATACCAAGACCAGACGAAGGTTAGCGAACCACAACTGTTGATGTGCCGCTGAAGTGAAACCAAAGCTTCAAGGGTCTTGATGTTCCAGAAGTAGAAACCTGCAGTGAAAATCCTACTGACATCTGTGATAATCATTGACCGTATATAAAGATGGACAAACCCTGCATGATGTCACCTATGGGTTTCCTGAAGAGCACTTTTGAAGCTCAGGGTGTGTTACAATACCCATTCAACCATACTACGCTGCATGCCAGAAAAAGATTTAGTACGTCCCAGTCATGTTCAGTTCGCCAAAAATACCAGGATGTCCTACTACATCTGGACGCATTTTGCAGCATGCAAGCCAGCGTGATTTTCTGGCCGTTCTGACCCGCAATCCTCTGTGCAGTGGAAGATGCATAACATACGTCACGGAGTCCCGGGTGAGTATAAACAAGCCTGAACTGCCAAAAGTGCACAAACAGATGACTGTCAGTTCATTTTGCACCACAAACTGCTATGGATCTTTGAGCAAATGGTCAACTTTTTTAGGTGCGATATTTTGACAAAGCCAGTTGTAGGCATGCAGCACTTTAAACTGGCAGCTGCAGTACCTACTGAAAGTTAAAAGTCATTGATTTGGAATGCAGAGTCATTGTGGTGGATTCAGCCATCGCCATCTTGGCAGCGCCTGACCCCGCCTAACTAACACAAACCAAACATGAAAGCGGCGCAAACATCCGATAGCGTCCACCTCCCATCCAAAGCAGCCACACCCTTTATTATTTATACCTTTAGGCCCTAATACAAAAGCGGTGGTTGAGTTATATAAAGAGTTATATAAATATTCACCCCCCATAGAGTTATAGTCAACCAGGACTTTAGCTATAGAGACCAAAATCATTCTTGAACCAGTTTGTAAACATGGTTCGTTCAGTTGGACATTATGAGAATCCACTCACTTTTGTCTCTAAGTGTGGCCCTGTGATAGACTGGTGACCTGTCCAGGGTGTCTCCTGCCTTCACCCTGAGTCAGCTGGGATAGACTCCAGCCCCCAATGACCCTAGTGAGGATTAAGCGGTGTATAGATAATGGATGGATGGATGGTATTAATATAAGCTTTATACTATGTTAAATACATTTTCTGAGAAGTTGATGTATTTTTCGTTCCAAATGAATGACAAATGTCCCCTTTTTATATTAAAAACAAACAAAAAAAATCTTCAAAAATTGTCAACCTGTCTCCTAAAACAAATGGACTGGGGTCCAAAAGACCTCAAAAGTCCCAAATATGGTTAAATGTAAGTTTGAATTATGTGTAGCAACTGCTGTTATAGATGCTGATTGTTTTTGAATATTGGCAGTAAAACCCAGAAGTTTTTCACATGAGAGCTCATATTGAGTTGCAGTAGCTCGTGGAACAGAGGCAAGTATATCTTTATCTGCTGAAATCTTAGACTTAGCACATTTCAAATTATTTGTGTACTGTTTTCAATATCCTAACACCTGGTTTTATGAATATGTAGAAGATTAAATAATCGCTCAATAAATAAATGTCAGTTTTCCAAATAAATCATCCCTTTACACAACACAATAATGATTAATTGCATTTTCTTTTCTAATCATCCCGTGTCTGGTCGGCCTCTTCCAGGAAAAATCATCTGCCCGGCAGATGTATGTTTTATTCCTGGCAGCGGCGATGTCGGCTTGTTTGGCACAAATACAAAGAGGATGAACTGAATGCTTCTCAGAAATGCGGAGCACAAAAATGAATACACAACATTGTTCCAGAATAAAAGATTTAGTCAGAATTTCCAGCAGAATCTCAAATACAAAAGTCTCAGAGAAAACATCTCAACAACAGTTTGTCCTCTTATAAATTAGCCTTTTAGAAATATACAGTGGCATGTAAGTACCATTTGTGGAGGTGAGTGTGGGTGTTGAATGTAGTAGAAAACAATCACAGGTTTACAGCTTGTAAAATGTTCTTTTCAGGTCTGTAAATATGCAAGCTTTGACATAAATAATAGCAAATTTACAGCACACATTGGACCTTTTGGACAGGTACCAGATATCCCATTCTTGCTACATCTTATATTTAAAAAAAAAATAAAAGACAATCCATAAAAGGAGCTTGCATTGACATAACTACAGAACTTCTTGCGGCTGCATAAACTGTATCAACATTTCATTGTATTTACCCAGAAGTGATGCAATTTAACTGATTGTAAATGATCAACTTATGGCCCAACTGCAACCATCCATTGTGATTGTACCATTGTGAATAATTCAAGACTCTTAACTTCAGTTTATAATAACTTTTCTCATCTGCCAAGGTTTGTTACCCGTTTGCCTTTTGCTTTAACTTTGGGTTCATCTCTTTGGAGCATCGGCTTCTTCCTGGTGTTATTTCCGATGTAAAGGTTGTGCCATTAAGTGTTGTGGACAGCGATGAGCGCTCACTTCCAGCTCTCGGGGAGCCAAGTTAGAAGTTCCAGCTTTAAGCAAATAAGCAGTATGCTTCATGCTGGCTTGTGCTTGTCTCAGTGCAGCAGTATGAGCACACAACCACCGGCTCTCGCAAGCTTTGTTTAGCATTGCTTGCTAAAGTGGCTCCAGGGATCAAAGCTCTCACAAACTCTGTTAGCGTGGCTGCTGCAGACCCCGAGGGAAGGAGGACGTATGTGTTGGCATTCAGTTATCATAGCTTAGGAAATGAGGAAAAGGCATGTTTTGCACAGTAGAAGCTTTGGTGACACACAATACAACACATGATATCCCTGTCTGGGTTTGGCTCTTGGTTGAATAAGACTGGTACTGACAGTTTTTAAGAGCTTTGGTGAATAGTCATTCAGTCCCAGCCAAAGTTGTGGCCAGTCATTTGGTAGAATTTGAGATTAAAGGGTCTGTAGAAATCTCGGAGCCTGAGCAGGACCTCGGAGGGGATCTGGGGATGGGGCCTGCCCTTCGACTTTCCCAGGCATCGCGGCCTGCTGCTCCCCTCTGGCTTCTTCAAGCAGGGGAAACCTTTGGTCTGGTTGAAGTAGAAGTGCTTATCTGTGACCACGCGCTTGAGCCCCAGAAAGTCCTGGACCCGGCCCATCTCGCCCGCCGGGTCCGTCACGAGGCGTTCCCCGCTGACGAAAAGGAAGCGTGAGAGCGGGAAGTAGCGCAGCCAGTTCTCCAGATGCTTGGCGTAGATGCCGATCCGCACGGCGCTCCACGACGTGTCGATGAGGCCCGTGGTGGAGTTGCGGAAAGCCAGGTTCTGGAAGGACGGCAGCCCGGGAGATTTGGACAGAGTCTGTGTGTAGTCAGAAACGGCTCGGGTGACGGGGTCTCGAACCACCACGATGAGCCGGGTGTGGCGGCTCATGGAGAAGACTCGGCGAGGGGCTTCTTTGGTGATGAAGTAGCTCGGCGTCTTCTCCATGGTGATCTGACCCTCCAGAGTCCGAGGCATCAGGTTCCTGGATGGAAAGAGAGAAACTGTGATGAGTAAAACTGCACTTTAAACATTCCAGAAGCGTATAGCAAATATATATATTACGAAAGCATCATCTCGAGTATACATTAGGAAAAAAAAAAAAGACACATTCCCTTAATATTCTCAGAGCATTCCTTATATGATGCCTCACTTGCCTTGAAGGCTTTTTGATTTCACTTTGTAATTAGAGGCCAAAATCTGTGATTACAGGGAGATAAACATGACATTAGCTGCTGGCATTGATGGAGTGACCATGTCAGCGCAGACTGGGAGAGAGTCTGCGAACGGCTACTGTAGGAAAACCACGAGGCTATATTAACCTCAGAAAAGTAATTTCCTCTCATCCGCTGCCTCCTCCTAAACAAGCTCATAACCGCTGCTCTTGTTCCTCACTGTGCTGCAGAGACAGTGTCCTGCTGGACATGAAATAACAGCCACATTGCTGTCATACCACCAGCATTTGCAGTCTTGCAGCAGGGATGGATTACTGTCGCGGGAACTAGACAGTATTTTTATCTTACTTTCCCCTTTTCTGGGTACTAAAAAGCAAATTCTTATCACAGTGTTGGGACAGTTACATACTAAAAAGTTTCACAATACAGATTCGTCATTGAAAAAGTCATCACACTGTTTATTTCTCAACAGAAGAGGAAACATTTCTTATTACTTTGTAACATGGACCAGTAATCAGTACCTTAAAGCACAAATCCTGCACAACTATCACATACCACGCAGCAAAAGCTTAAAACACACCAACATCACTTTAGTCACACGCATAAAATGCAGGAAAACAGACTTTAAAAATATGCTTCAGGCCGCAGTGTGCTGGATGTGGATGACTAACAAACTGGGCTGAAGACTGCCTTTATGGTGATGCTTATTGGTTTAAAGGCGGAGTCAATGATGCTGGAAAACAACTGTTGCTATTTATCTTGGTCGCATATTTAGATAGCATGTGCCAGATCTACCGTCAGTGTTGCTCCCACTGTCCTGTACACAAGCGTGAATGTTGTGTGGATCACCCCGTTCCACATTCACAGAGTCAGGGCTGCGTACAAGGACAGCGAGTAGACCCTGAGGAGATATTCACTGGAACTGGATTAGTATTGCTGACTTTACCTTGAGCAGTCGTCGGCATTGGCAAACCACTTAAAGTCCCTCTCTGCTCATTGATTAAACCGTTAAAAACTCATCTGTTTTCGTCAAAATGACATATTTAGAAGTTTCCTTTTCGCAATGAAAATGATCCCTTCCTGTCTTTAAATGGCTTTATTGAAACTCTACACTGTTGCTTCCTCTAGAATTTGCAGATCTATGAAATTTTAATTTCTCTCTCTCTCTCTCTCTCTACCACTCACTGCAACTCGAGCACACCAGCTCACCCACAGCTCTGCTCAAACACTGTAAAACTACGCTATGCTAATGGCAGTTTGTAACATTGGAATAATTCAGCCTTACATGATCGAACCAGAAACTGATTCTGGAGTAGAACGATACGGAAAGTTGATGAATTTTCTTAAGTTTTTTACGTATGAAACAGTTTAAAGTTGTGGTTTAGAAACTGCCATCAATACGGCTTCGGGGTGGAAATACTCAGCCATTGTGTGTCTTCCAGCATATTAAAAAACACCATATAGACATGTTAACAAGGTAAAAAAAACTTGTGTTTCTGAGAGGGTAAAATGCAACAATAAAGGAAGGCACCTGCATCTTCTATATGCAACTGCCTCTCGAGCCTACACTCTTTCTCCATGTTAATAAACCAAGTCTTACTATGTAATGGGCTTTCGCCACTGAAAAAACAACAGTATAGTTACCTATTTACCCACACAACAAACAGATAAAGAGTTTTTATTACAACAGTTTTCTGCATCATTTCACTTAAAAACATGGTGTTGACTCCATCACTGTGCCTTTATTAACAGCAGACATTTGGATGTGTCACAGTAGAAAAGCAACACATGCTAGTAATCACATTATTGATGGTTTGTGATATTTACGTGTCGCAGTAAGCCGTCACAACGTGACAGTCAGTCAGCATGCACGGCACCAAGACCCATGAAACTGAAGCTGCTAAATGGAATTTAACTGTCATTAATTTTTATTATTTACATGTGTCCTTTTCCTACTGTGGTGAAATGTTTTCCCCGAAAAGAGCCTGCTGATGACATCTGGGAATGTAGGAAACATAGTCACATAGTCAAACTTATTTGGAAGAAAAAGCACTTTTACCTCCTCTTTATGGGAGAATTTAGATAATCTGAGACTTTTGGCTTGTTTGCCGTCTGTCTGACCCTCCGACTGCCAGGTTCTTGCCTCATCAGACATTGTTGGAGGAATGTCGCCACAGATCTCAGAAACTAATTTTATGAGTGCAAAGATATTACAAGGGTTAGGGGCAATACAAAGCTACACATTACTGTAATAACATTACATTTGTCTGTAATACATTACTGTTCAGTAATCACATTACAGTTACTAATCGGCTAGAGTTACTACTTTTATTTTGAGGCTGTAAAGCCGACTGTCGGAGGCACCTTGATTCTCTTAAGGTGGTTTTCAACTGCAGGTGGCCTGAACATTTACAGGATCGTCCTTGTGATTGGCCCTTTGAACTTTTTTGTATCCATTGCAGTGCAGGATCTGACAGTTATGACCACAGGCATACCTCAATGATGACAAATCGCTGTGACTGGACATAAGTCAAGTTCTGTGAACACACAGGAGATAGAGCAATCCAGGTTTGCTAGATGGCAATGCCAGAGAGGACAAGACTCAATGAGGACATTAAAAACAGCACAGAAAAAGTTGCTCATTGACGTGCACAGTAGTTTTCCAGGACCACTCACAATTACCTACTCCACGGTAAGTCCTTTTTTATTGTGGTTCAAACACGCACAAAGGTTCAAGCCATTTTAGGGCCACCTGAACCTTTGTGCAGATTCCTCCAGCAGTAAACAGCCTTTAAACATGCAACTCAGCCTTGTTCTCGCCACAGGATTGTTTAGCTCATTGGGCTGGTTTTTATCAACTTTGCTGCTGGCTTTGTTACAACACCTTATTGAAAGAGCATAAAAGAAAGATGCTGTGTATTCCATCCCTGTTAAGACTGGGAATTGTGTTGATATGTTGGCAGATGTATGGCTTCTTGTTAAATGATCAACGACATGAAGATGCGTCTCAGGCGATTTCAAGGACGCAAAAGTAACATAAGGAGTGGTTTAATCGACTACTTTCCAACAGAGTAAAGTAATTTATTGCTTGTTTAAAATGTAACAAGAAGTTCGTAACACTTTTTTTAAAGGATGAACAATATATCGGCGACCACATCGGTATCGACCGATATTTTTTTTCCCGATATATCGGTATCGGTCCGATGAACAAATTTAGCCAATGTGAAAAACTGGTGATTGCTCATCTTTGTATTTGATATTGCTACTATTTCACAGACGTTTTTACTTAAACGGTCACGGACTTGAACGTTAAATATGCTAAAATATGTTTAAATATACTTTGCTTTTGTTACGTAATAAAAAAGACTATGTGGTTTCATTTAGTATGGGCTTCTTTTGAATAGTTTTCACGTTCTCACAGTGCTTACTCATACTAATTTTCGATGTGAACAAAAATTGAAAATCGACATTGGTAATATCGGTTATTGCCGATATTAGAAATCTTAATATCGGATATCGCTATCGGCCAGAAATTTTAATATCGTGCAACACTATTTTTTTTTTAAAGTAACGACCCAGACACTGCTCATAATACCCAACACACAACTACAAAAATAAGTGGTAACAAACTGCAATTGTTCTTTAATTTTGGGACTATTCTAGCTACAGTAGTCCAATTTGTGACGCCTACAGAAAATACAGTCCAAACGTATCCTATAACATCGCGTGCCATGTGCTCTGGTCCATTCCTGGTTATTGCTCTTGGCCCTCTGCTTGTTACTACCATCAGCGCCTGGGGTATTCTAGGCACACTGGACTGGCCTCCTTCTCTTGATCTTCACCCCTACTTAGATGACTCAGACGCCGAGAAGACGTAGTAGTACCTCAGAAAGTTCAACAAACCCTGACCGAGGCCTGCGTTTGACTGAGAGTCCTCCCGACGCGCCAGAGCAGATTGTATATAAATCGAGGGAAGTGGGAGGGAAAGGAAAACCTATCGGTCTCGTGTCGTTTGCTTTACCCAAACGCGAACGTGATGCTAAAATGGAAGCTAATAACCGATTTTCTCCCCTGTAAAAACAACCAAAAAAAAAAGGATCGAGTTTAAAAGAGGAGATTCGAATCGCAGGCTCTAGAAAATCTAAGCGAAGAATGCCAGTGTTGCAACTGCGGAAGATCCCTCAGCTAATTTCCATGCTTCCCCCTCTTCCCTCCTCAGCAGGCATGTACTGGTGGTTGGGTCGCAGTCTTCGTGGTTGGTCTGTAAGTGAAAGGCTTAACGGGGGCTCTGGTGCGTTCTGATGGAGCCGATTCCTCTGTCGGATCCAACACACACACACACACACACACTGGCCTCCGAGCTCGGCATGTCCTCTGGCACGGAGCGCCGAGGGTAACACCAAATACGCAACTTATGGCATTCATAAGAAATCTCAGAGCTGTATTACAGGGTCTGCGGCAAAAAACAGAATTGAGCAAAAAAAAAAAAAAAACAAATCCAGCAAATACCAAAGGGAGAAAAGTTTCGAAAAACCGTTTCTGTGGCTCCTTCTCTCTGTTGGGATGCATTTCAAGAAACTTTCTGAGCTATAACCTATTGCTCTGGAGCCAAAATGCTTCTGAGCCTGTTGGTCACAGGGCTTATTTCTGGTCACCACATGATGTGAGCGGCAATATAGTTTTTATGGATATGGGTCCCAGAAAAAAAAAAAGAAGCTGAATGTTTCATTTGTATCCCAGGAAAGTTTAACAACTCTGCTTTTGAGAGGAAATTCCACCCTCGCACACTCAAATATGTCATCTCTCTGTG